GGCGGGCGTTGGCGCCGATCTGCTCTGAGGGGAGGGCTCTGCCCTGCCTCAGCCGCGGTTCTCCGCGCTGCGTCGCGACGTGGAGGCCGTGCTTCAACCTTGGTGCTGGTTGCTGACGGACTTGGCTGTTGTAAAGCATCTGCCTGCATCGTTCACAGCAGCGACAAGGTTATTGTTATCTGGGGCATACCTAGAGCTGTGGTGGTTCTTGTTTCTTAACTCGTTCTTAAAGAAGTAAGTGGGGGAGAAAAGTCACTTCTGTCTGGGAACGTGCTGTAATTTCTCTATAAGTGCCTGAGATGTGCCTTGGCAGCATTACAACAAGATTTTTAATTTCATAGATACAGTTGCTCAAAACTTCAGTTGGGAGGTGAAGGTAAAGTTAGGGTAATAAGGAAACTAGCATTTGTGGAACAAAAATAACTGCAAACGTGCGTAATGAAATCATGGTAGAGGTATTTTTGGAGCGTGACTGACTTCTGTTGATGAATTCTGTTAAATGTTGTAAATTATTTTTATTATTTAATTTTTATGTATGTTAAATACTATTCATTAAATAGTAGAATTTTTAATGCTGATCCTTAGCAGAGGAGAATCGGTGGATGCAGAGTCGAGAAAGAAGCCATTTTTCCCTGTGAGGAAGGGCTATCCTGAAGTTACCGCTTTGGGTTCCATTCTGCAAACCTTCCCTTGCAGATACGAGTCCTGGGTCACGCTGTCTGCAGTGGACGGAGCTCATGTAACTTGTCTGTTAATCCCAGGGCAGTGGCCCAGAAGCAGGGCTGAGCTTCCGGTCTCCCCTCATGCTCCAGCAGCAGCCTGTGTCTCGCTTCAGTACTTCTTCACTCGGTTCCGTATGGGCTTTGTTTCACCATGCTGGAAACTTCCTCTGGAGGATGACCCAGGGGCATGTGTCTTTAGAAGCGTGTGAAACCCAGCTTATGGGCCTGTTGGTTGGGCTTCCTGCCCTCGCAGGGGGGAGAGTTACAGACAGGACTGTATTTTGCTGTGCTTTATGTAAGATTGTAGTCAAGTTAGAGACCCAAGGCTGTAACATAACGACTTTATGTTTCTTTTCAGTAGTTTAGAAGGCATCTGAGAAATATGTTTTAACATTTTTATGTATCCCTCGGTTCATTATAAACTTTGGGGGAAGGCAGAGAACAACTGACAGCTGTTTAGAAGCAAGCTTCACAAAGAGTGTCTCCATTGCTGCGTGCTTTTTCTCTACTTTTAGTCAATGTTTGCTATAATACTAAGTTTGGTGCATGTGTGGAGCAGGGAGAAGTTTTAGTGTATTGTCCAGCTTTCTTTTGTTGCTATAAGAAGTGCTCTGATTCAAGAAATAATCTCCCTGTTTTCTCTTACGTCTTACGCTTCTTGGCTGTAAAGATTCTCTTTTTTTTTCTTTTGTGGTTCTGTGCTTTATAACCATTTCTTCTTGTTTTCCCAGAATTAAAAGGAATATGCCTCTGTTTCTGCCTTGTCCAACACCCAAAGGGTTTTTAGTTCTTGGGAGTCACAGAGCTCTAAGATCACCCCTTCACTCATTTAAGTAGTTCTTAAAATTTTTATAGCTCCCAAACTAGAGGATGTTCCTTGTGGTAAATATACTGGTCATGGATCAAGAAGCTGTACGCTTTCTGTGGCAAGGAGTGCTTACAGGCCAGTATACAATCAACAATGATGTGAGGTCAGTTTGTGGTCAATAAATCCAGGATAACGTCAGCATCCTGACTGTCAGAGTCGGTACATGCGTCAAAACACCTTGTGTGCTGTCAGGTAGAGTACGATGTAAATAGCTTGCTGTGCATCAACAGGGATTCTGGTGATTCAGCCAAGGAATGCTTCAGTGGTAAGAGGATGGAAACTTTGACCAGGAGTGTAAGAGAATAGGATTGATTGGTCTCTGAGGACGCTTTTACTCAGCTGAAATCACCCAAGCAAGAAAGGGAAATTCTTTTAACAGGCTTCCATGAGCTCTTAGGATTTCTTTGAGAACATACTGTGTAATTCCTAGCTTCTATGCTAGCATGCAGTAGGTAAAAATAAGATGGTTAATTTAACATATTTTTTAAACAGTAATGTCCTATTGTATACCAGGGAGTATCTCAAACTTCTCTTAATTTCTATTAAGGTGAGAAACTGACAGGAAGAGACAAGCCTACAACTTTGAGAGGTTTCAGTGGAAGTGAGTTGTGTGGATTGCTTCTGAGGAGGAGGACTTAAGTGTTTGTACTATGGAATTAGAAAAGAACAGTCACGTTAAAAGCAAAAGGAGGTCCTTCAAACGGACCTCGTGTCTTTTTTCTTCTTCTGAGGAAGCTGAGCACATTCTCGTCAGAGACACAGTGGCAGGAGTTAACCACTCTGGTTTTGGCCAGGCAAGTTCTGCCAATGTTTCAGAGTTAAAGTCGTCAGAGGAAAGCTTACCTTATTTAAGTTCGTCTTTAGATGCAGATATTGAAATGTATAATAAAAAGAGAATGCAAATTTGCTGTGCACAAGTAGGTGAAAGCAAGAAAGAAGCTGATACATTGGGAAGGGCATGTGACAATACGCACTTCAATTGCAAGGGGTGTGATGACTGCAGACAAAGCTATTTAGTTGAAGATACACAGCTGGAGTATCTCAGTGCTCATGAGCAAGATTCTGATGATGGGAATAGCTCAAGCGAGCTTTCTGAGCAAAGGGAAACTATAGGAATCGAAACCCTAAAGCTGACAGATGTAGTTCATGAAGTTCCAGAGGGTGGAGTTGCAAAGGAACAAAATCTCATTGACATGTCAGAAGATAGTTCTCCTGCTTCTAAGCATGGCGTAGGTGACCAGACCTGCCCAGAAGCAGCTATGCCAGAGGATCCCCACGTGCTTCAGGACTCTCTGTCTCTGCCAGATTGCAATGGCATGACTTGTGATCATCAGGAAGAGCAAACAGAGTATCACAGTGTTGTTTGTGGAAGTATACTTGAAAGCTGTGCTTGTGGGAGTAAAGAAAGGGTCTGTCCAAATCTGCTTGTATGTGACAGTTCAGAAGATGGCGAGGTGAAAGACATCCCACTGATTGATGGCACGCTGTCACCCCAAACAGCTACAAGTGAAAAAGGGTCTGAAAAGAATGACACACACATTCACAGCATCTCAGTGAAACAAGACAATCCTTTACTGGCACCATGGGAAAGGACCCCTGCAGTAGCCACGCAATTTTGCAGATGTGCAAGGGACTCTCATTTCTGCAGTTGTGAAGAGTCTGGTGTGTGCGCACATGGTGCCAGCTGCACTGACTGCACTGCAAAGCATGCTGAAACCCAATTTCCAGTCTCTGCACTTCTCACTAGTGAGAATCCCTTTTTGGAGGTGGAAGTTGCAGATAAATCCCCCTGTGGAAATACCAGCTGTGTGAGCTCGGAGTTGGGGCGTCGTGAAAATTTGAAAACCGTTACCAGCAACTCTACGGTTAACCAGGCTGTCGATGCAAGTTCTGATTTTAGAGCTTGCTTTACAACAAGCAGAAGCACCAGTGCTCAGGTTTGTCTCTCGTCCAGGGCTATTAATACAGAGATAATGATGATGAACAAATCTCGACCTGTGGGATGGCGTCATGAAACTTGTGCAGACGTTGCTTGTAATACAGACTGGTCATGTGGAGCCAGTAGTACAGAGGAAATTCAGTCACAGTCTGTTGACACACTGGAAGAGCACTTGGGTGGCAGTACTGCAACAGCTGAAAGAAGTTCACAAATTCAGGTAATTTAAAAAAAAAAAAAAGCCCACAGTCGAACAGTTTTGGTACATAGAACTTTTTGAAGTTAAAGTTGCTCAGAACTTGTCTGTACGAATGTTAATCTGTAACTTTTTAAAATGTTTTTTGTTTAGGAACAGTGGGAAACAAAAAATGAGCTCTGTAGCAGCGATTTAAAGATAAGCACTGACAGGTGGGTCATGAATTGTTCTTGATTTGGAATTCCAAATGCTGGATAAGATTTATTTCGTGACTGAAAGGTTGTCCGTGACTTAGCAAAACTGATGATATTAAAAGATTTCTGGGCAGCGGTTCCTATGCTGGAGGTTAGGAAGTGACCTGGACAAGTGAGAAGAGTGAGTTGAAGAGCTCCTGAAGTTGAGCAAAGTCCAAAGCAGCCTTGGTCTGCAGTTGCAGACTGGCCAAGAATAAGTCGAGCGTAAATGCTCCCATATGGCAAAGAAAGGAAGCCATGTCCTGGGACTGCATTAGCAAGAGTGCAGCCAGTGGATGGAGGGAAGTGTTGATTCTTCTCATTTTGATGCTTGTGAGGTTGCATTTGGAAAGGTATCTCCAGCTGTTGGCCTTGTAGTGTGAGAAAGAGATTGGCAGACTGGGGAAAGTCCACCAGAGAGCCGTGGAGGTGGTGAGGGGAGCTGGTGGAGCACCTGATGTGTGGGGAGAGCTGAGGGAGCTGGGCTTGGTCAGCCTGGAGAAGGGAAGGCTGCAGAGGTGGAGAACCTCCCTGCAGTTCTTGGCAATGTGGTCATGGGTTGCCAAGAAGATGGAGTTAAATTCTTTGCAGAGGTGCGTTTTGAAAGGGTAAGAGTCAGCAGTTACAGTGAGGGGAATTCTACGTGGGTATAATAAAAAGTTTCTTACAGTGAGAGTAGTATTGGAACAGCATTGGAGAAATGGTACAGTCTCCTTTCCTGGAGATTTAAAACAAATAAAAACACCCCAAACCCAACAACAAAGCTGGACTGAGTAAGACCTGAACTAATTTTAAAGTTAGCCCTCCTTTGAAGAGAGTTTTGTACTGCAGACCTGCAGAGGTCCATTTCAACCTAAATTATTCTGTGACTGTGGAAACAAAAGAAGTGCATCTGTAGATCAACAGAGTTGCTAAGGTTTTTTTTTGTTCTTACAGCCCCACTTTTTGGATGGAAAATATGGTGCTCATAGAGTTTCCACCTCTCAGTTAAAGCTGATTGTAATGTGAAAGCTACTGTAAAAGATAATTTTTTCTGTGTAGTAAATAGGAGGAACTGATTTAATTTTTCTTTTCTTTCTTTTTCCTTAAATTGTATCAGACATAGCTCCTGGAAAGTTAGTTGTTTGAAAATAAAACATAATGAATGTAAAATATTGATTCAAGGGCTTCAAGATTTTGTTTATTATTGTTATTTTAAAGGCTAGTGCACCTTGACAAACAAGCTGTGAAGAATTCTGTATTAAGCTACTGTCAGAAAATACTGCAGAGAGCGATTGAAGCAGAATTGCAGATCCTAAACACTCATTATCAGATGTGCTATCAGCATTGCTTGAAGATTTACAGACTAGCTTTGGAGGAAAACACATGTTTTAGCAGGCATGTACTTTAATGTCCTTTTAAAAGAAATAGATAACTCGGTTAAAAGGCATTAATTGCTAAAAATTACTGATGTAGTCTATGCATAGCTCGTAATAGTGTTTACAGTTAGCGTTGTTGTCCAAAGGAATTTACATTCTCATAACTGCCAAGTCTTACTTTCAGCCTAAAATTTTGTGTAGCCCTCACAGACCCAGGAAAACCTGGTTTGTTTCCAGGAATGTCTTTCTGTACAGGAGGAAAAGTGCAGAAGGAATAGTACAGAGAATGCGTTCAGGAGTGGATGAGATGCATAGAGGGGGAGCTGGGGAGGAGGTGGTGAAGGAGAAAGAGAGGAGGTGCAGGATGGTGAAGAGATGAGGCAGGAAGGGGGCGGCGATTTCAGAGTCTCTAGCTGAGAACGCATACGCCCGGTAACAAACCTGGAATTCCTCCAAGAAGTCCTGCCTCTGAATGCTTTAGTGTGCCATGGTTAGCAATGAAACCTCACTAGCGTAGTGTCCGCTCCATAGTTTAGGAGGGGGTTCACGAGAGCACCTGGTAATGCTGTGAAACAGAGTACGGCTCCAGAGAGCTACTGCGTGCTTTGGGAGTGAGCTCCTGTTCCTGTGTGACGGGGAGGAATCTTTAAACACTGTCAAATGTTTGGGAAATTCTGGAAGCAGTAAAATAAATGAAATGTCTGACTAAGTTGATCTTATTTTCGTGTACATATTTTAACAGGTGTAATGGAAATACTGGATTAGGTTCATCTCTCATGTTGGTTTTGGAAGAGCTAAAAAAGAATTACTACCATATGAGAATGAAAATAAAAACGGGCATACCTTTAAATGCACTTCCACCGCTATCAGTTGAGATTAAGTTGTTCCCAATCTCCTCCTCTTATGTACCGTGCAAGGTAATTTTGTAGTTGCTTATTGTTTGTAATATAAATTGTTTTCTTCAGAAAATTAAGACAAATTTTTTCTTTTTTGACAGCTGTTCACAGAGGATCTTTGTTATGAGTAAGTAGTCCTCATCTGTGGTATTAATTAAAGTTCAGAATAAATGAGAAGTGAGTTTAAAAGATGTTAGACTTAGAATTTCTTTGTTTCAGGATACATGTTGTTGCTCCAGACTGCTTAGCTGGAAGACTAGCATAGCACTTTGGGTACAGTGATTTTATTTTAAAGAAATCTTTACTCTGTAGCGTTCTAACATGCAAACTAGAGAGTTGTATTTTTACTGTCTTTATAGCAAAAGTTTTCAATTTACAGGTAATTTTCCTGGTTCCTTACTTTCACTACTAAAAATCTTTGTCTCTAAACTTTGTGCTATCTGTCTTAAAAAATAAAACCAAAAAACCCACAGAAAATACCAAAACAGACTTTGCTGCCACCAAAGATAATATTAGGCATATAAGCAGGTGTTCTGCTAAGATCATAGCTCAGTTATGAAGAATGATAGAAAAATAACTTCGTGTTTCAGGCAGACATGTGGTACAGCATGTTCAAGAACCATATCACAGAATGTTTGGGGATGGAAGGAACCTCTGTGGGTCATCTAGCCCACCCCCCCTGCCAAAGCAGGGTCACCTACAGCAGGCTGCACAGGACCTTGTCCAGGCGGTCTTGAATATCTCCAGAGAGGGAGACTCCACAACATCCCTGGGCAACCTGTTCCAGGGCTCCGTCACCCTCAGAGTGAAGAAGTTCTTCCTCATCTTCAGGTGGAACTTCCTATGGTTCAGTTTGTGCCCGTTGCCCCTTGTCCTGTCGCTGGGGCCTCACTAGGGCAGTGTAGAGGGGAAGGAGAACCTCCCTTGACCTGCTGGCCACACTCCTCCTAATGCATCCCAGGATCCCATTGGCCTTCTTGGCAGCCAGAGCACACTGCTGGCTCATGGTCAACCTGTTGTCCACCAGCACTTCCAGGTCCCTCTCCACAGACCTGCTCTCCAGCAGGTCCGCCCTCAGCCTGTACTGGTGCATGGGGTTGTTCCTCCCCAGATGCAGGACCCTGCGCTTGCCCTTGCTGAACCTCATCAGATTCCTCTCTGCCCAACTTTCCAGCCTGTCCAGGTCCAGTTACTTTATGTAAGTAGAGCGTGAAACAAATTTGGCAATAGATCTGTACTATACCAGGTGAACAACTAGAGATTTTTTTCAAATTTCTTGTTAAGCATTGGTAAAATTAATCAAAAATTGCATGGAGATTTCAAATTGGGAAGACGTACATCACAGCATCACACAGAAAGCCATCTAGGTATAAAGGAAAATCAGCCTAACATAAACCTAGAACGTAGCTTTACGTTTCAGGTTGTAACCAGTGCTTTTATAAATTACAGGCAGCAAAAAACTTCAGTTCTCATTTTAAGCTAAGATATATTAAGCACGTTATACTGTGAGCTTTTTGCAATATTTAAATTTATATTTCAGTGTACTTGGTATCATTGTAGAATTTAAAACTGTTGTGCCATATTTTGTATGAAATTCTTGGATCTGTTTTAGTTCTGTTTCAGGCACGAGAAAAGCTGACTTTGAAGCACCAAAACTACAAGAAAAAAGGAAAATTTCTGTCAATGTGGTAGGGACTTCTTCATTATTGAGTTTCCTAGCGATTATGTTGTGAAGCATAGTCTTCTCTTAGGTCTGTGCAAATACACTCACAGCCTTCAGGGCTCAGACTGAGGTTTTCTGCCAGTAATTGCAGTTGCAGCCGATGTGACCGAAATTTTGATCGTCCTTCCAAAATAAAGTAAAATAACTTGGGGTTCTTGAAGATGATCAGTAGGTTAACTTTTTAAAATTTATGTGTTTAATCTTTTAATATTCTGAAGCTCAGAAAAATAACATATAATCAGGTGCAAGTGCTATGACATAACCGAAACACGTTTATAGGACGATCCACAGACTGTGTGTTTAGCTGATGGTGGTCAGCCAAGAGACTCTACTTCCTCCAAGACATCTGAAGAACAAAATAAAGATCAGGATGTGGAATGTGGTAAGCGATCTGCTCCTAGTACAAATGCTACATTATGTGTTAGTTAAGTTGTTGGGAAAAAAACAAAACCATGTGTAAACATAAATGTGGATACTCAACTTTCCTTTCTGTGAAGGAATGCTTAACGTTATGTCAGCCTTGTATTATACTTCGTATCTTAAAAAACAATTTGCTACTTAAATCAACAGAGAAAAATAGTATGTGTCACCTCTTCATAGCGTAGTACCAAATCGTGTAGGTAGCTGGAATTCTCTTAGGCACAAAGAAATTTGATACTCATTCATATGATATACCACGGTCTGAATTTTAAAGTACTGAAATTTCTTTCAACTGTCAAGGTTGTGTGAAAAATGAAGAAGGGAATGAATCTTGGTTTGATGCTAAAGAGGACTTGACAGTAGCAGATTTTCCAGTAATACCTGAAGAAATCAAAAAGCAACAAGAAAAACAAGATGCGGTTGATTTAAGAGGTGAGGTCATTGCTTTGACCTAATAATGGTGTTTGTTTATTGTTTGAGTATTCTTCTCCTTCTACAAGCATTAAGTAGAGTTGAAAAAAATGCTAGCTGGGTTTTCAGACTTATTTTTTTAATTGACTTGCAGTGAATGCTTATACAGGTATTCAGCTCCTTTCATCCATGTTTTTTCTTGAAAACTTTACCTGCAGTGGTCAAACTCAATTCAGTAAACCATGTAGCTGGAGATCTCTCTTCCTCCTCTTTCTGCTCCTTCCCCGTACTGGCTTCTCAAGAGCTAGCTGGGAATGGTCAGTGTTTGGAGACCTGGGTCACTGTGACGGGCATGGTTAGAGTGTGCTGAAAGCGGAGGTCGTGTGTGCTCTGTGGTGGGGACTTACTGTACACTGCCTATGCTTTTGCACTGGTACCTGTTAGTGTAGACCAGTGTTCTCTCTGGTTGTACCTCTTCTGCATCTTCGAACCTCGGGAAATACACAGGGGAAAAGAGATTTCCCAAACTGACCTGTTACACTTCTCAGGACACTCTCATTTTCTGTTAGAAGATACTCTTCATTCTTTCAGTTTTTTTAAAGGTTTTCTATCTATGTTTTCTGAAATCTACAGATTGGCTTGAACTGAAACAAGAATAGTTGGTAACACTTTGCTTTCTTAGGTTTGTTATTGGAAGCAAAGATAGTGGAGAGTGGAAATGCATGTTCTTTTGTTCGTGTTGGTGGCCTAAGTTCATCAGTGTCAGAGGTATGCCTGTTCTTATTTACATAGCAGTAGTACTGTCATGCCTGTTTTGTGAATTCTTTAATACTGTACATTTGCAACCAAAATATGCTTCTGTTTTGTAGGGTGATTTACAATCACATTTCCAGAAGTATCAGATTTCTGAGACACTTATCTCTGTGGATTGTGGTAACGACAGGTATAGTAGTATGAAGTTTTACTTGCTTCAGATTTTTTTGCTGTCAAAGTAGCGAATCATGAGAGAGAGGACGGAGCTGTTCATTAATTTATTTTCATTTTGTTTTAGTAATTAATGTAGATGCAGATGGGCTGACAAAAACTTGTCATTCCAGACAGCTTCTCATCTTACGAGAAGTTAGGGAGTCTGAAATTTTCTATTGAGGTGGAGATACATGGAGATACAGCTGATATTTGAAAGATGAGAACCATCATGTGTTCTTACTGATGATAATTTGCGTTTTACTTAGTTTCCTTTATCTATTTATTTATTTTATGTCTTAGATATGCATTTCTTTGCTTTAAAGACACTAACAAAGCAAAGTTAGCTGTAAAGGAAATGAACCAGAAAAAAATAAAAGGAAAAGGAGTGAGCGTTAAACTTATGAACACTTCATCAGAGAACAACTCTTTGGTTTCCCAAATACTTACAAATATGCTTTGGCGTGAAATCCAATCTGTTGATAACAGGCAAAGAAATGATCAAGATGAAGCATTCACTTCAGCCTCCAGTTCTGTGAAAGCACCGGACACCACCTCTGCTTCTGAGAAAATGCATCTCCTTCCCATAACTTCTTCAAAAATTTCTTGCTCTGTGAAAGTACCTTCAGAAACAAAGTGCCCTGGTCTGGAATATTCTGCTGAAGATTCGGTACGTTTTTTGTTTCAAGTAAATCAAAAGGTTAAGAATTATTACTGAGGCTCCTTTACATGGCAGATTAAGAGCCTTAAAACTTCTTGTTCCATAACATGTTACATTTAATATATATAGAATGATGTTAAGATAGGAAAGCATGTCATGTTAGTAATAAATTTCTGGCATGCTGCAGAAGAGGGAGAGCACCGTTGATTCGCCGCTACATCAAATTGTGATACTCCCATCTTTTTTTCTTAATCCTAAGCCAGTTGGGAACCTATCCATTTGCTGTTTTCCTCTTTTGAGTTTCCAAGTTTCCATTTGTAACTCTTTTTTACACAAGAGAGATCTTGAGATATTAGAGTGGAAACTCCTGGCTTTTAAATATAAATCTAAAGAAACATAAGTATAAATGTATTTTTTGGTATTCACTCAGGTTGATCCTTGCAGGATAACGCAAAGTTAGTAATTGCTGGTGTTGCTTTCATACACTATATAGCTATATCTTTGGGGATTTAACTTTAAACGTGCTAGTCCTCTGGGAAATACAAATGGGGTCTTATTTAATGTAGCCACATAAATGCATGCAGTAGTTGTATTTCTAATTTACAGACTGGATAATATGACTGGCTGTATTAGAACAACTCAATGATCTGAATCTGTATCTGTCATTTTTTTCTTTTCCCGTAACAGGAATATTTATTAATAGTAAAGATATGTTGTATTACTTGTACAATATCTAACCCAGTCACTTCTTGCTGATTTTGATGCAATTCTAGGATAGTGGAGAAAATAATCTGCAGAAAACATCTGCTCCTTTCGCCACTCATTCGTATGATGCCTTTATTTCTCCTAATACGTTGAACTTGAGCAGCTTTACCAAATTAATGAAGAAACTTCAAGAAATTCATCCAGAGGCTAGCAGGTGAGAGTATTTGTATTTCATTTCTGCCCTGATTTGTAATAGATCCAATGCCCTTGGTAACTAAGTGCTAAATGTATTGCACAAAATGTGATGTAAACAGTTACTTGTTTTATTCATATAGAGACAAAATTGTGGATGCTCTGCTGGAGGTGAGGAAAAACAACAAAGGTATCCTAAGTGGCTTGTCCATCAGTTCTATTGTGGAAAGGACGTCTGTCATTTTAAGGAAATCGGCACCCAGTTGTGGGTGGGAAAAGCAATGTAAATAAGTGAGTATTCTAGTCTAGAGAAATCTATTGAAATAAAACCATTTGAATTTGTGTAGCTGTGTAGCCTGCCTCGGTTAGTAACTAATTTAGTATACCTGCAAGAAGTACCTGAATGAATCCACTAAAGCAATAGCTTCTAAGGATTGTTAGCTGTTTTGCAGAACATCTGTAAACAGATTGGCTCGCTAGTTTTGTGCATTCTATAAAACTTGGTATATTGGGGTTTTTACTATGCAAACTGTTTTATTGTTTAATTTAGTGAGAGCATCATGGTGCATATTCTGGACAAAGGTGACACCTAACGGCCAGTCCCTGCGTGGCAGTTCATAAAGGAATTCCAGCATGGGCTCAATTTTGGGTTAAAAATTGCTTTCTGTCTGATGCATGAGATTGAGTTCTGGACTAGAAATCTAACAGAGTAAGATTGTATGTCCTTTAGTTTCTTTCATGTTAAAGGACATCTTGCATGGTGACACGGCACTGGATGCTGCGGGAAGCTGCTGCAAGCTGAACATGCTAGAAGCACGGCCCAGAATTCAAGGGGGTGTACATACATATTCTCCTACAGGGAGACATCCTTGAGTTGGCTCTGTTTCAGTCTCCCACTAAGCTTGGTGTTCTGCTTGCTTCAGGGCTGCTAGCCATGTCACTACTGGGTTTCATGCACTGTCCCATACATTCTTAGCAATGCTCCAGCTTCACTTCTGCCCACAAACACAATCTGTCCAGTTGTACAATATTTATTGTTCTGTAGTGCTTCTTCCCAAAACTGCACCAAATCCTTCGTGCTCTGACTTTGGTCTCAAAGCTCCTGGTTCAAGGAGTCAAAGCAGTCAGTTTGATTTTAATTGATACCACCTCTTCCAAGATGAGTAGTATTTATGCCTGTAGTTTTACGTATCCAAGTATCTTTCCCGCTCATTGAATGTTGCTTATCATACTAAATTCTCCTGGCCAGCTACCTGTGCACGTGTTACTGTAGTGCACCAGTAAACCATAACACAGTCTTAGTGTGAACAGAACTGCTATGCATTACATAGTAGAACTGTAATAATAAAGTAGAGCGATTCTGCCCAGTAAAACAAAGCAGAAGCCTGGGCTAGAAAACTTTCCACAGATGCATTAATTATACAATTAGATGCTTATAGGCCATTGTTCTCATTCCTTGTTATAGGAAGTAATCTCAGTGACTAGAAAAGTCTTTCAGAAAGACTGCCTGTAGATTGTGCTGGATATGCAGAGACATGGGATTTTCCTTCGTAAGTGATTATTTTTAGAATGGTGCGTGGCCTTTACAGTCATAAATAATTGTTCCTATGATAGTATTTGTTCTGTTGCTTTGCTGAAGAGATGATGACCTATAACAGTTTTTACTTTCATCACGTGGGAGCTGTGCAATAGCCAAGTCATTAGTAAGTAATGGGGAAAAAGAATTCTTATCTTTCCATAGTAAGAAATAAGTATGTAATATGTTTAAGAAAAGGTGATTCCACTCAAAGCCCATCTATACTAATTCCGGTATGTAATTCCTGAAGGGTAAGTGTTCACTGAGACATACCACCTCAGAGCCTTATGTTCTTGCAAGCCGAAGGAACGTCCAGGGTTGCACAGACAGTACTTGTGTGCCGTACTGTGTTACATAGTATTGAATGTATAACAATTTAAATTCAGCTTTGAAGTAAAGCACCATATAATCTTGCTTTTTTCTTTGGCTGACTTAGCCCAGTCAGACATCTGAATGTTTATAGATCTTGTGTATTTGTTAATTTTGAAGGAGTAACTTCATTAGAAATGGGAAGTTAGTTTTCTTGGCTGGAAAGTCCTTTTATTCTCACTAATGAGTGGCTGTCATACTTACCTGAACAGCACACTTAACCTATTTCTGTTTTCTAAACCTAATGGTAGGCAGCAGTTAACAGGAGTTATGATGTGATAAAAGTTATTCAGTGCAGCATTAAAAATGGCTGTTGCCTTAAAATTTTATCCGTACCAAATGTCCACACTTGGAAGCTTTCTGTGAAATTAATAATCTGCATAGTAAAAATTTAATAACAGACCAATGGAGAGGGGTCCTATGAAAGCCTAACTGAAACAGTGCTTTGAGAAACATAAAGAAATGCATAGAGTCCATATACTCCTAAATTATGATTTGATAACTTAATTTTGAGTTAATTGAATTAATAAAAAAATTACCACCAGATATGATTTGTTGCACAAAGATTATATATTTTGTTTTATTGTAACAGTTTCTTTCATGTGGTTCTTGAAGCTAGGAAACCTCAGTCTTCTGTGTACTTCTGCAGTACACAGCAAAATTATTATAGCTTCTTGTGGTTTTCTGGGGTATTAAAACTGCTGATGTTCCTTTTATTTCAGTTTGAGTGTGTACATGCAAAATTTACCTTCTTTTTTTGTGTGGTTTGTTTTTTTTTTCTTTTTAAGTAGATGGCTTTCCGATTATGAAGAATCGATCATCTCCCTTTGGAGGATTTTTGCAAATTCTGTACTCCAGCTTGTTCCAGGACCATACTGTATTTCTTGTTTGATTTACTTCAGCAGATCTTAATGAAAACTCACTGTATGATATGCAGTCTTATCCAGGAGAATAGAACCTGAAGGTCAGTTTGAGGTGTTTTTCTGTTTATGCAGATATTAGATGACTCCTCCCAGTTTTCTTGTTCCTCATAGTTGGTTCAAGGGTTTCAACAGGTTTCTCTAAGGTAGAAGGATCACACTTCAGCGAAGCAGGACTTCCCTAATACCAACAGGGCTTTTCTAGGCTGAAGTACACAATGCCCAGTTCTTTCGTGCCGCATCATTTTAGGCATGGTGGTAGCTGCTAAGATGTTAATAAATAACCAGCACATTTGTGCTTTCCAGATAATGTGAATCTGAATAGCTTGTAGAAATTCCGTGTGTCCTTTGGATACCAGGGAGGAGTGGGGGAGGCAGCGTGGGTTGCATTGGAGAGAACCAGGATTTGGAGCTGGCAGCGCTGGTGGACGTGGTTCCACAACCCTGTGCTGCAGCAGAGTCGCTTTGTGTCCGTTTTGACTCAGAAGTGAGTTGCAGACTGCAGAGTGCTGATAGGGCCAGCACTTCCTCCAGGATGAAGCCTGGTTTTTAATTTTTTTTTTTTTTTTTTTTTTTTTTAATTTTTTTTTTTTTTTTTTTAAAATATGTTACTTTGTTGTCTTGCATTCCACTTCTGTTGCTGCAAGCAGAGGATGGGCTTCCAAATCCTCTTTTTGTGTCCTGTAGCCTGCTATAGTGGCAAGCACACGCTCCCTGAGACTTTTGCTTTGGGTTGATACAGGGGGTGGAGAACAGCTGGGAGTATTCAGTCTTTCATGTTTGTGTGTGTTGTTACCATACAGAGAGGTCTAGATTTTAAATCCTCTTCTGGCAAACAAAGGAAAGGCCACTTAGGTGTACGTGTCTGGTCAGGGGGTGAGGAGAATTATCCTTGGTTGACACGGAGAGGCTCATGCTGTGATACTGTATGACAAGACTGTACACTGCTGTTAGCCACCTCTGTCTCTTTGTTGTACTTTGTTCCAGACCCTGGCTGCATTTGCTGCTGAAAATAGCAGCCTTACTTACCTGTGAATAAAGGTTAAAAAGTTGTTCTCTTCAAAAAGCTGTGTGGTGTTCTGCTGTGTTCAGATCTCGCCTGTTCCCTGCCCCGCTGCAGGTAACGCATTCAGAGCCCCAGCCTTGCCTTCGCCAGCCGCTGCGCTAAACTTGGTCCTGCAGCTGCAGGCGAGGCCTCAACTTTGGCTCCTTCCCTGTTCGTATCGAGATGAAAGCAGGCCTAGGCTTTGCCCTCCCACATTATTAATAGCAAATGCTGCCCCTTGTGTCCCTTAGGCTCGGTTCTGTAATTAGGTGGGTGTAGGGATAGCACTGGCTTTCTGGCGTGCAAGCCGTTGTGTTTCTGTTGGGAAAGCAGAATCGAGTGTGATGCGACACGCTCAGGGTGGCCGCTGTGCCACGCTGCTGCTCTTCAGTGTTCCCTTGGTTCTCGTTCGTCCCCCTTCGAAAGGGAGAGGCCGGTGCGGGGGGCATCTCCTGATCCCA